ATATGGTTTTTTTCCTGTTCCCTTTGCAAGTTCTTAAAGGACCCTATGTGCTGGCGCTTTGAGACCTTGACCAAAGGCGTGGCCTGACGCCAGCACTGATGACTTCGTCTGGGGAAGGTTTAATGGCCTCTCTGAAATGGGAGTAGTCTTATTTTCCTTATTATTTAAGACAGCAAGCATCTAGAGAAGCCAAAATAGCAGGGTTAAAATTTCAAACAGCAGTTTTTATATAAGATGGATGCTTCTTCAATAGGTTGACACCCAACAACTGAGCTACTCCGGCCAAGCTAGAAAGATTTTTTAAATTCAGATTTTTAAGTTGTATTGAGACAGAGGCTTGGCCCCACTTATGTAGTCTACCTTTACCAAAAGGACAATAAAAAAAGGTCCGGAGACCACTCTTCTGGACTATGCCAATGATGTCTTTCCTCACCTCCAATCTCACCTCTACTCTGCTGAGACATCTATGTTTTTAAAATATTTTCATCAAGTCATTTCCTTGCTAAAAAAGAAAAAAAAAGAAAAAAAAGAAATAAAAAAGTCTTAGTGACTCTCACTGTGTGGTGGCTTTTACTGTGTCAACTTATCCTGTGTGGTTCTGGATCAGTGTTGGCCATTAGAGACATTTTGGATGCTATTTGGGAGATAGAAATGAAGCAACTGCTAATTATTTTTTCAATGTTTTAATGGCTGGTGGAAGGTGCCAGGCACAGTGTCTCTGATCTGCAGCTAGCCCACCTCATGCGAGCAGCTCCATGGTGAAGGGTTCCAGCATCGTCACCCAAAGCATCGAGGTTGGAGGTGAGACGAGGCAGATGTGGGTTCCAGTTAGTAGGTAACAGTTGTCCCCTTAGTCCTAGTTCACTCTTGCTCTTGTCCACATCCAACTTTCCTTCCCTAATTCCACTATAGCCACTATACGCTCGGCACTAGACCTTCAGGCAATTGCCTGTATGGACTGCCCTGCCTTCTTTCTTATAATAATTGCCTTTACTTCTTATAATTACTGCTTTTAATTCACACAATTTCCTTTGATTCTTAAAATAATTCCCCTATTACCTTATGTGCGCATGGTGGTTCTGCTTCTCTGATCAAACCCTAACAGCCTGTATTCCAAATTAACTAAAAATGAATTGAATAACACCAATCCTGCTACCCAGTTCCTCCATTGTATATTAGAATATATTAGGTTATTGAGATTTGTAGCTAACATTTATTGAAGACCTCCTAGGTGCAGGGCGCTTGTTAAGTAAGCTTTCTATTGCATCTTATTAAATTCTCAAAACAATCCTCTGAAGAAGATACTAGTATTATACCTTTTTTACAAATGTTTACAAATGTCACACAGGCTTAGTAATTCAATCAAGTCAGAAGTCACAGCCACAGCCTAATTATAAAACAGGAGTTCTCAACCACCTGTACTCCAAATTCATTAGAACTGAAAGAAATTGTGTCTTTTCCATGGACTCTTAAGGACCCTCACCCTTCCTCCACATACATACACAAAATGCATGTTCATTACTTTAGGACTTTTCCCTTAATCTTCCCCTTTTCTCAAGAACTTTCCTAATGTCATAGCCAGTCTTGTGGTAAAACAGAAACAAAATTTCAAGCCAGACTGACCAGGGGTTGAATGTCAAATCTATCCATTACCTACTACCAAATTTTTTAGATTCCCTAAGCCTCGATCTCATCTATAAAATTTCTATGATATATGTGTAAAATAAGATTTAATATTGTCATTTATGTACAGTAAATAAATAAAAAATTCCTGAATCCCCTTGCTGGAGTATGGATTTTCAACTTTTAAAAACTATAACCCACAGTAAGAATATATTTTGCTTTGCAACTGAATTTACACATACACATACACACACAAATAACTGAAACAAGTTTCATGAGTACTGCTTGCCTTTACTACTTGTAGTACACAGTGATCTATTATTCTATTCTATTCTATTCTATTCTATTCTATTCTATTCTATTCTATTCTATTCTATTCTATTCTATTCTATTCTATTCCATTCTATTCCATTCCATTCCATTCCATTCCATTCCATTCCATTCCATTCCATTAGTGGCTGGTCATGACTCACTTAATTGATTTCGTGAACCACAGATGGGTCAATATTGAAAAAATGCTGAGCCGTTTGGATTCTTTTATGTAAGGAGGCATATTTTGTTTATTTTTGTATTAGTTTTGGCACAGAGTAGGCATTTGGTAAATATTTGCTGTAGAACTGGGTTTCCTTGAGGACAGGAGTCTTGTCTTAGTTACCTTGTATGTATCCCATATTTAGTATAATTCTTTCCACAATACTTAGAGAACAAATGACTAAAATTCAGGCCTATTTCCAGGCTTTAGAGACCAAATATTTGGATCAATCAATATGTGACAAGCACCTACTATGTGGCAATACCTAAATGCCAAATTCCTGGCTCCTTCTGTTAATTATCTTAAAAGCAGTGTGGGATCGCTGAGGGGGAATAATGAATACATGCTGCCCAACTGAGAAATTTAAAAAATGAGTAAGACATATGGAGGGCATAATATCACCTTTATTAATAATGAAGACTAAGTCAGAGAACGCATAATAATGTGAGAGCCAGTCAGGCCTGTTAATTAACCCCTAATTTGAGGCATTGCTGAAGTGGGGTGGCCCTCCCTCATGCCCAAGCAGAATGTGGGAGGAAATGAGCTCAGCAAACCCAGTTTGTTTTTTCTAAATGTACTAATTAGATAAGTCACTCCTCCCCTGACCAGTGACAGAGGGAGTAAAAGCATAGAGAGACCAGACATATTATTACCAATTGAGCTTCCTCTTTTATGGAAGGAAATAGCAAAGTAGATGTTCCCTTTAAAAAATCATATTTTGGATACGACATATATAGGTGAAATGCTAAATAATATATATGTATATATAAATTACTACATAATATAAAACAACCCAAGGAATATCAAAGGTGATACCTAATTAATTTTTAAATATAGTTGGTACTAGTGTTTCTCAAGTCTGACTGTTTATCAAAACCTGGAGGACACTATCAACAATAAAAAATATATTTAAAGTGTGTCGGGGTGTGTGTGTGTGTGAGTGTGTGCGTGTATTTGTGTATCAGTGGTCCCTCAGGTCCTGGATGTTGCGAACAGTATGAGGCAAGCGCAGGGGGATGGGGACCAGTTAAAAAAAAAATATATATGTATATGTTATACTAGTGTGTATATATATATCCTATATAATAAAAGGCTAATATGCAAATCGACCAAACAGTGGAACGACCTGTTGCTATGATGTGCACTGACCACCAGGGGGCAGATGCTCAGTGCAGGAGCTGCCCCCTGGTGGTCAGTGCACTCCCACAGCGGGAGCGCTGCTCAGCCAGAAGCTGGACTCAGGGCTGGCAAGAGCAGCGGTGCTGGTGGAAGCCTCTCACGCCTCCACGGCAGCGCTAAGGATGTCCAAAGGCTCCCAGACTGCAAGAGGGCGCAGGCTGGGCTGAGGGACCTCCCCGTCCCAAGTGCACAAATTTTGTGCACTGGGCCTCTAGTCTAAAATAACACCCCTATCTTTATCACCTTGTCTTGCTTGTTTTCAATATAGGAATTAACAGTTCCTGAGATTTCCTTATTTACACTTACTGTCTGTATCTTCCAACTATAATAATGATCTTGAGCATAAACACCTTTGCTTGTCTTACTGACTGCTGTACCCCTAGCACTTACAACAGTGCTTGGCATATGTGAAGAATAGAGAGAAAAGCCTTTAAAATAAATTCTTCCAGTTCTGTTTTTTCAACTCTTCAACTAGGTTTTAATAAAATGTGTTTTATTTATGCAATAGAATTGAACCATCTATTAAAAAGGCATCAATTGATTAAAAAATACATCTTAGTTGCACTGGGCTCATTCTCCCCTCATAGAAAATTGTGTTAAATCTTCTGCAGAGTCATTATCCCTTAATATTTTCATATACCAGTATAGTATGGATTTGTTCATAATACTGTTGTATAGGGAATACACAATTATTTTCAAATGTATCCTGACATGGTGAGGATATATTTAATAAATCTAGGGATTGCTGCATAGATTCTGTTTTTTGTTTTTGAGAGAGAGGAGAGGGTAAAGGAATTTGTAGAATGGAAAGGTATTGCAAGGGAGCAAGAGAGTCATAGGAAAACATGAAGGCTTTATCTGGTTCTTTCTAAAAGTGGACTATACATTTATTCTCTCCTCTTTTGGGGGCACCTCCTTAATGAGTGAATGTAATCTGGCGGAATTGAAGACTTTTAATTGCAGGTGCAGAGAGAAAACTTGAGCTTATGAAAGTGTCCTGTTTCACAGTGGTTTGTTCAAGCCAGTGCGGCAAAATCTTCAGTTGTGGGTCATCTGTCGCTTGGTCTCAAGGGAGCAGCATGGATTAAACTGACAACTGAGGTGAATTAAGGGCAAAGCAGATGTCCTTAAGTCCCCCGCGGAGCATTTCTAAAATACATTATCTTTGAAAACATACAACATCTGTTACAGGGAGAAAAGGAAGATTCCGTGCCTCAGGCCGGTGTCTTCGGCAGGGATGTGAGGACTTGCTCAAAAGTCCCAAGAATACAGCCAGCGCCCCCAGCTATAAAGCTAGGTTCATAGGCAACCAGTTTTCAGGCAGCTGCCACCCCTTTCTTTCCTCTTCGTGCTTCGTCAATCATGATTTTAAACAAAACGGCTTTGTATGTGGAGTACTGGTTGAACTAACTCCGGCGCTTTGGCACAGACAACTGCGCGGGTATTGGGAATACAAAACCCGCAGTCTGAAGACAGAGGTTGTGGCTTGAGAAAAACCAAAGGCAGAGAGGGGGAGAGAGGGAGGGAGAAGAAACGCTGCTGAGTCGGTGGTGCATTCTGGGAGTTGTAGTCCATGTGGGACAGCTTTCTTAAGCCTCCACGGGGCTCTGGACTCCATCTCCCAGCCGCCCCTGCGCCACGGAGGAGGCCAGGGGTGGGGACTACGGGGGTTGAGCTGCCGCAGGGGGAGGGGGCCTGGGGCTGAGAAGCAGCTGTTAGCGGCTGCCAGGAGACGTTATCGGCCGTTCGTTAGGGCCGAGGAAACCCTCGGGAGGGCGGCGACGAGGGCCGTGTGATCGCCGCGCGTCCCTGTGCCTGTCCTCTCCTTCCACGGGCGCGTGGGGTCCGCCATGGAAGCGCATCCGGTCGCCGCCGGGGTCTCCCGGCACCGCGTCCCAGGCTCCCGGGAGCGATGAGGGGGTAGACTAGAGGCATTCCGCGACCCGCCTCTGCCCGCGCTCCGCCCGCCGGGGCGTGAAGAAGGGTCGGCCGGGTTGGCCCGCCGGCCGCGGTGTCTGCCCCGCGCCGCCCCGCCCCGCCCCCTGGGGGCGCCCGCCTCCCATGCCGCCCCGGCGCCGCGCTGCGCCCGGAGCCCGCCGCTGAAGCCCCGGACCCGCCCGCCGGCCGCGCGCGCCCACCGCCCCGCCGCTCCGAGCCGGACGCCCCTCCACCCGCAAGATGTGGCACAACGTCGGGCTGACCCTGCTGGTGTTCGTGGCCACGCTGCTGATCGTCCTGCTGCTGATGGTGTGCGGTGAGTGGGGCATCCGCCGTGGGGCAGTTGCACGCTGCGGTGCACGCGCCAGCGCTCCTCGTGTTGCTGACTGGCTTGTTCTGTCTGGTTTAAAAAAAAAAAAAAATAAGGCGTGAATGGACAAGTGTCTGAAAATCATCTGTTGTCCAGTTACCTCTCAGGGGTGAGCTCAGCGGAGATGTGCCCCTGACCTGTGACCGCCGCTGGCATCCCGGAGAGGGAGGGAGAACGGGATCCAGGGCTGGGCATCTTCACTCGGGGCTAAACCAGATATTGCTTCACCGGCAGCGTCTGCTCTTGATTGCCATTCTTACCACACTCTGCCCAGATTTTAACCTTGGCCTGTATTCGAAGGTGAAGTGACTGGCTACTCCTTTTTCTTTCTTTACCGATTCTGACCCTAAAGGTAAATTCAAATCAGGAATAGGATCAGAGTTGGCTTTGACGCCCATGGGAAATTGTTTGTTTACTTGGAGTTTCAGGCTTCAACTAAATTCCAAACAGAAACGTTGAGACGAGGCAGAACTTGAAAACGCTGGCTGCGTTAAACTTCCAGGGTTGGGTAACCCGCTCTTAGTTCTGTGATAATGGTGCTGTTTTGTTTGCTGTGAGTTTTTTCCTTCTTGGAAGGACAGGACATAAACTTTCTTCTCAAGGTGCTATTAGCTGAGTTTTAGATCTTTTGGAGTTTTCTTTTTATACACAGTAACTGATAGCCACAAATCTCTTAGCAGAGTGGCTCAACAACTGTGAAAATTTGGGAAGTATTTCAGTGTCATTGAGTTTATTTTTTCATAATTGCATTGACGTATGGCTTCAGATTAATGCAATAACTGGTCAGAATTCAAAATAAATACTATAGGATGTATTCATTACATGAAAAATGTACTAACTGAGTTGGGTTTGGAGAGGATATGTGTGTAAAGTGTGTTTGTATGTTCCTCCACCACCCGCGTGGTTCAGGGTTCAGGATCTGGAAGAGGGGCCGCACACAAATGGAAGAGACTAGACAAACAGATAATTTGGAAATTGGGGGGCCAGGCGAGAGCACATCCCAAGAGGATGGACTCTGCTTGTGCTCAGGCCTTGCCTTTTATTGAGTTTGGGATCCACCTATAGCCCTTAAGCAGGCAAGTTCCAGTAACAGGCAGACTATCTTATCAGTAAGGATTTACATGACTATCTGGTGGGAAGTTGCTTCAGCTACCATTGTCTTGACTGAACAGTGGGTGCATAGCCCTCACCTCTGCCAGGGCTTCAAGGGTCACCAGCCTTCCGGGCTCCCTGTCCACACCTCTCTGCTAGAGAAGACAGTAGGCGGCTTCCCACAGATATGGGTGTTTGTGCATATGCATATATATGTGTTTGTATTTACAAACTTGTATGTATATATTTTAAATTTTTAATTATTTTCTCGCTTTACTATGGCACCAGAGTACAGCCTTTCTTTTCTGATGATAAAACAATTGAAAAGACTTTCTCAATTTCCTGCTTTTGAAGTCAAGATTTTGGGCTAATTGTAGGTATTTAGGATACTTGAAGTAAGGAAAATCAGACCTTTGTTATTTGTTTGGCTATGAAGAAGGAAGAAAGCATATACTTTCTTTTCTAATTTGAAGATGCAGGCTACCTGGAGATGGCAGTGAAACACGTAGACTGCGTGATATGTGGCAACACCTTTGATAGAATATTTGCCAAACTTGCCTTTGGGACATTAAAATTCCTAATTGCTACAAATATCAGTCTTTCTCTTGAGACGGACTAGTAAGCCCAGGACAAGTGAAATAGGGAAACTGAGACAAATAGTTAAAAAATCTTGATGCCAAGCAGTTTGTAGACATCTAGCAAATCATGTCTTCCCTAAACCAAGGACACTTAGGAGTAAATGGTTTACACTTCTCCCCAAACAGAGGGTAAATAGCTTAAAACACCCTACTCAGGGAGACAGATAGTGGAAATCCAATTAGTGCTATTTGCCAACCACACCCAAGGACAGATGCAGTTGAGACCCTCCCCTAGACACCTAGCATTTTCTTTTTTTAAATTTAAATTCTTTTTTATTTTATTTAAAAAATTATTTATTGTTTAAAATATTACATGTCTCCTTTTCCCTCCATTGACCTCTCCCTGGCTATTCCCACCCTCCAGCACATGCCCTCACCCCCCTGCTCTCTGTGTCCATGGGTTATGCTTTATGCATGCATACAAGTCCGTTGGTTGATCTCTTACACCTCCTCCCCCTCTCACCCCCACCTCCCCTCTGAGGTTCAAAGGTCTGTTCGATGCTTCTATGTCTCTGGATCTATTTATTTGTGTTCATCAGTTTATATTGTTCATTATATTCTACAAATGAGTGAGATCATGTGATATATATCTTTCTCCAACTGGCTTATTTTCACTTAGCATAATGCTCTCCAAGTCCAACCATGCTGTTGCAAATGATAAGAGGTCCTTTTTTACAGCAGCGTAGTATTCTATTGTGTAGATGTACCATGGTCTTTTAATCCACTTATCTGCAGATGGGCACTTAGGCTGTTTCCAAATCTTAGCTATTGTAAATTGTGCTGCTATGAACATAAGGGTGCAAATATTCTTTCTGATTGGTGTTTCTGATTTCTTGGGATGTACGGTATTCCTAGAAGTGGGATTATTGGGTCAAATGCGAGTCCCATTTTTAATTTTTTGAGGAAACTTTATACTGTTTTCCACAGTGGCTGCACCAGTCTGCATTTCCAACAGCAGTGCACAAGGGTTCCTTTTTCTCCACAATCTTGCCAGCACTTGTCATTTGTTGATTTGTTGATGATAGTCATTCTGACAGATGTGAGATGGTATCGCATTGTTGTTTTGATTTGCATCTCTCGGATGATTAGTGACTTTGAGCACGTTTTCATATATCCCTTGGCCTTCTGTATGTCCTCTTTCAAAAAGTGTCTGTTTAGGTCAGGGGTGGGCAAACTTTTTGACTTGAGGGCCACAATGGGTTCTTAAACTGGACCGGAGGGCTGGAACAAAAGCATGGATGGAGTGTTTGTGTGAACTAATATAAATTCAAAGTAAACATCATTACATAAAAGGGTACGGTCTTTTTTTTCAATAGTTTTATTCATTTCAAACCGGGCCGTAGTTTGCCCACGGCTGGTTTAGGTCCTTTGCCCATTTTTTGATTGGGTTGTTTATCTTTTGTTAAGTTGTATGAGTTCCCTATGAATTTTGGAGATTAAACTCTTATCAGATATAACATTGGCAAATATGTTTTCCCATGCAGTGGGCTCTCTTGTTTTGTTGATGGTTTCTTTTACTGTGCAGTTTTTTATTTTGATATAGTCCCATTTGTTTATTTCTTCCTTAGTTTCCATTGTCCTTGGAGCTGTAGTGGTAAAGATATTGCTATGACATATGTCTGATATTTTGCTGCCTATTGGTTCTTCTAAGACTTTAATGGTTTCCCGTCTTATGTTTAAGTCCTTTATCCATTTTGAGTTTATTTTTGTGTATGGTGTAAGTTGGTGGTCTAGTTTCATTTTTTTGCATGTATCTGTCCATTTTTCCCAACACCATTTATTGAAGAGACTGTCTTGACTCCATTGTATGCTCTTGCCTCCTTTGTCAAATATTAATTGAGCATAATGGCTTGGGTCGATTTCTGGGTTCTCTGTTCTGTTCCTTTGGTCTGCGTGTCTGTTCTTGTGCCAGTGCCAGGCAGTTTTGAGAAGAGTGGCTTTGTAATATAGCTTGATATCTGGTATTGTGATCCCTCCAACCTTGTTCTTCTTTCTCAGGATTAGTGCAGCTATATTTTTTTATTCCACATGAATTTTTGGAGAGTTTATTCTAGGTCTGTGAAATATGCCAATGGTATTTTAATGGGGATTGCATTGAATCTGTAGATTGCTTTGGGTAATTTGGACATTTTAATGATGTTGATTCTACCAATCCATGAACACAGTATACTGGTATTCTTCAACTTGTTTATATCTTCCTCTATCTCTTTTTTCAGTGTCCTGTAGTTTTTAGAGTACAGGTATTTTACCTCCTTAGTTAAGTTTATTCCTAGGTATCTTAATTTTTTTGTTGCAATGGTATATGGGGTTATTTTTTTAGTTTCTCTTTCTGAGAGTTCATTATTTTTATATATATAAAAAGCCAGCAACTGGAGCACTGTAATGACCAGAACGACCAGTCACTATGACGCCCATTGTGGCCAGCCAGCCTGCTGATCGTGGGTGGGGCTGGTGGCCAACCTCCTGCAGCCCCTCCCTCCAGCCGGCCCTGCCCACGATTATCCCTCCTACTCCCTCCCCAGATTAGGGGCGTGGCCGGCCAGCTCACAGCCCCTCCCCACAGTCGGCTCCGCCCCTAATCAGCCCCACACCCCATTCAGGGGTGGGGCCTGCTGGCCAATCACCAGCGGCCTCTCCCCCCACACTCCCCCCCTCCCCCCGCTGAGCCCTGATTGGGCCCTGATTGGGGCGGGCTGGCTGGCCAACCGCCTGCCATCTCCTCCTCCCTACAAGCCTGGTCCGGATCCACCCCGATCAGGGCCAGGCTGGCCGGACCCCATCCATGCACGAATTTGTGCACTGGGCCTCTATATAAAAATACTGTAGATTTCTGGGTGTTAATTTTGTATCCTCCTATGTTGCCAAATTCATTTATTTAATTTAGTAGTTTTTTGATGGCGTCTTTAGGGGTTTTTTTATGTACAATATCATGTCATCTGTGAATAATGACAGTTTTACTTCTTCTTTTCCAATTTGGATACCTTTTGTTTCTTCTTCTTATCTGATTGCTATGGCTAGCACTTCCAGTACTATGTTGAACAGGAGTGGTGAAAATGGGCATCCCTGTTTTGTTCCTGTTCTTAGGGGAAATGGTTTTAGTATTTTCCTGTTGAGTATGATGTTGGCTATAGGTTTGTCATATAAGGCTTTTATTGTGTTGAGGAATGATCCCTTTTTATCTTATCCATTCAGCCATCCTTTGTCTTTTGATTGGAG